TGCACTCTAGCCGGCTCCTATTTTGCTTCATAGCTCACAGCTCCTGGTTAAACCAAGACCCTGACTGAGCTTTGTGCCAGAGAGGGCATTTAGGAGCGATCATGTCTACAGACCTAGTGGCAGCAGCAAACCAGCCATCAACCAGAGCCTCGACAGGAGCACCAGACAGATCAGCTGGAATCCGTCTCATGGTATCCTGGAATCGTGATGGATCCAGTAACTTTCGAGGGTGGCCCATTAAGAGAGAGAGCCACTGAGAGGTTACATTTTATTAGGTGGTGATCTGACCATGACAAGGGACATGACACAAGGTCAGTCCCCATCAGACCACACCCGCTCCACTCAGTGGAGAACACCAGGTCTAGTGTGTGACCGCCCACGTGTGTGGGGCTGTTGACATGGTGGGACATGTCCAAGGAAGCCATGGTTTCCAAAAACTCAAGAGCTGGACCGGAAATCTCTGCCTCCGCATGGATGTTGAAGTCACCCAGGACCAAAAGCCTTGGGGACTCCAACAGTGCTGTGGAAACAAAGTCCGCCAGCTCTGGTAAGGAGGTGGCTCGGTCGCGGGAAGCACGGTTACCCAGCAAGAGCCCAATATCATCCCTGGCCCCAATCAACATGTGGAGGGCCTCCAGACCCGGCTTCACCACTGTAGAGTGCCTAGTAACCTCCAGAGTATTTCTATAAACAATGGCTACTCCCCCCGCCCCTCCAGTGTACCCTGGTGCTGGACTGCATAACCAGGAGGACAGGCAAGGGTCAAGGGAACTCCCCCTTCTCCACCCATCCAAGTTTCGGTTTTGCATGCCAGGTCTGCCTCCTCTTCCAGAATAAGATCTTGAATAATCTGGGATTTATTGGACACAGACCTGGCATTCAACAGCACCAGTTTTAGAGTGGAGGGCCAGCTGATCTGACTACCTCGAGACTGGCAGGTGGTCACAGTGCCAGAACAGTGAACAGCCTTCAAACATCTGTTCACTGTTCTCCTAAAATGAGTGGGAACTGTGCCATCGCCATATCTCCCTCAACCCATAATCACTCGGATGTTAGAACCCCCGCTTGGGGGGGGGGAGCCTTACACTCCATGTCAAAAGAAAAGAAAGAACAATGTATACACTAAATTAATACAGTTAGACAATAATAACAGAATTAACAAAATTGATCCAACATTAAATAATAATACACATTGAAACAATTATCCATTACCAAATTAAGCAAATTATCAAATTGGGCAATTTATCAATTTAAATATAATTTAAATTAAGCAGTTCAAATAAATGTGAACTACAAGTGGAGGGACAAATTACAGCTTGGGGCTTGTAAATAAATAATCAAAGAAGTACTTGTGAAATATCCTGAGGTGAAATATATATGCTGTGTGGCCCATAGCCATTGTTCTTTTTTATGAAAAGTCCATTACAGTGGTGCCCCGTATAGCGACGTTAATCCGTTCCAGGATTAACATCGCTATACGGAAACATCGTAAAGCGAAATTAAAAAGCCCATTGAAACGCATTAAAACCTGGTTAATGCGTTCCAATGGACTAAAACCTGGCAGGGACAGGGTGGGTGGGGGATCCCGAAGGCTTCCAGGCAAAAGCCTGGAAGCCTTCAGGACCCCTCCTCCCTGTCCCCGCTGCCCCGCGCTGCCTTCCCTAGCCAAGATCGGACTCCCAGGAGCCCGATCCAGGCTGGGAAAAGCAGCGAGGGGTGGCTGCCAGCTAAGGGGACAGGGTGGAGGGGGATCCCGAAGGCTTCAGGACCCCTCCTCCCTGTCCCCACCGCCCCACGCTGCCTTCCCTAGCCGAGATCGGACTCCCAGGAGCAAAAGCCTAGAAACCTTCGGGACCCCTCCCCCCTGTCCCTGCCGCCCCGCGCTGCCAAGCCCAGGATGCCTGACAGGCATCGGGTCTCCCCACCTTCCCCCCGCGGCTTGGATCCGGCTTGGATCTGACCCGTGGGGGCTACTCCGGGCATGGCTGGACTCTTGGGAGTCCAGCCATGGCAGGGCTAGCCCCCACGGGTCCGATCCAAGCTGCGGGGGAGGGTGGGAGAGCGGGGGTATCCGCATGTTTTTCAGGCATCCCGGGCTCGGATCCCACCCGCCGCCAGTTACCCAAGGCCTGGGTAAC